TTATTATTTGATTTAAGCTTTTATTAATCTGTGATTATATCTACTATTTTCAGATAATTTATCCCAAAAGCGATGAACAGCGGCAGAGATTGGGAGAAGCGGTTAAAAATATATTACTCTTCCGTTCATTAGATCCCGTGAGTACTTATTTATTACAAGTCAAACACTTTGATAAACTGCTTATTAATTAATATTTTATATGACAAACGTTTCTATAGTTTTATTTATATTTATTGCTAAGATAGGATGCTATGAAATACTGCATTAATTAAACATGGTCACTGTATTATAATTACCGTAATTTAACAATAAATAAATTAGTATAACTTTATTGAGCTTTAAATTTAAGAAAATTTGATCCTATTTTTTAACGCTTTATTATAAGGGCTTTTATCAATTAGTTTAAATATGACCCCATTTTTTGGCTAATTAAGCTTTAAGTTAAACATTAATTAATTAAAAATACAACTAATATATGAATAAATTAATATTGAATTTAACAAAATTTTAAATTCTTGTTTTTAGCTGGAAATGTCTGAAGTAATCGATGCTATGTTTGAAAGAAAAGTAAGCAATTATATTTTATTTAACTGCATTTTAATCAATAGCGAAAATATTTGATGCAATTAACAAAATTGTAATAAATAATAAATTCTTGCATTTATTAATGAGTTTATAAATGAATTTGAAGGTCGAAGAGGGAGAGATCGTCATCAGACAGGGAGATGACGGCGACTACTTCTATGTCATATCGGAGTGAGTTTTTGACAAGAATTTAATTTGAAAATTACAAATCTTATAAATAATATTACAATTTGCGAGTGATTTGCAAATCATTGAATTAACGCAAACGTTTGGCTCTAAATAGTGGGACCTATAAAATTGTGGTGTCAGTAGACGACGGGTCTGAGCGAGAAGTGGGTGAATACACGGGTTCGGGTAGTTTTGGTGAATTGGCGCTCATGTATAATATGCCGCGAGCAGCCACTGTCAAAGCCATGACAGTCGGCTCACTCT